TCTTTCCTTTAGAAAAACTACTAAGCACCCATACATAGTATCTTTCTGATGAAAAATGAACGAATATGCACAACTTTGTGAAACCGGTGAAAACCGGCCGGTCCAACTCATTCAACCGATCCGGTACGGCACCGGTCCGGTACGGCCGGACCGGTTACAACTCTGGGTTGAAGCGCTGCCGAATTATTGCGTGACAAGGGCCAAAATGGGGCTCGTAGCAAAAGCGTTATAACTTTTTTGTTGGAAGGTGCAGAAAGCTGCGAGGGGCCTCATATGAAAGTAGACACCTAAATCTAAAATTTAATTCGCGGCGATTTTTGAATTTCGCTTCTGTTCGTTCCCTACACGTATTTTAAGTCAGACCTCTGAAAATAACCCTAATTCGGCGGAGTATTTGCCACTTATCTCTACACAGAAAACAAAAATCAAAAATCGCCGCGGATTAAAGTTTAGATAAATGTCTTAGCTTTAATAATAAAATAAAAAAAGAATGAAGGTTTTCCGATGAATCGTCTGGGAGTTATTACAACTTTACTGCGCCCAAACCGTATTCTAAGCAATGACGTCATCACTTCATTAATTATAATTCAGCACCTTTAGCAAAACTAGTATAACTCTGCAAGACAAAGTCGTACAAAGCTGCTGAATATCTCATTCTGATGAAAACATTCTGCTCAACATAGCTCCATGTCCGTTAAAATGGACAACCTTAAGAAATTTTAATTAAAACGTGAAATTTAGAAAAAGGTGATTTTTAGGTATTTCAGAAATCCTCCCAAAACATTGAATTTTTGACAAACTAAGATGGATTCTGAAAGATGATCCTTTGGGATACTGAACCGTATGGTTACTTCAGTTTCGAAGAAAACATCGAATTTCTGAGGGGAAGAGGGGCTCTTAAATGCTCGACTTAACTAAGTCTAGACTTAGTTAAGTCGAGCACTTAGGAATTTTTATCAAATACCCTCTAGATCTGGTGGAGTAAAACCATTATTTTTTTGTAAAAGTGGGAGGGTGCGCCCTTTCCCCAACCGCCACGTCCCTGATTAATATTACTAGTTGAAAATAAATAGAATTGTAATGCTGCATTTATTAATTTGGTCACTTACTGTATTTATTTCGCAGATACCTGTACGAAGAAAACCAAAAGTACGAAATACGTTTCACTGACGATTTAATGAATAATTACAAAAAGTGGCCCATGTTGTTGAAACCGGACGAAAACCAGCAATTAACCGCGATTATTTTAAGAACCGACGGTTAACCGCGTTTATGTCAGCCGAAACCATAGCAGCACAGTAGAAAAACCGATGGTTAACCTCACAATTAACCGGAAAAATGATCGGTTAGTCGCGGTTTTTTTCGATTAATT